GAAGTGAGACAAAAATAATTATGCATTAACTAGAAATGATTTTTTATTTTTAAAAAAATTCAACATAATGTTCTAAGAAGAAACTCTTCAACATAGGAATTCAAATTAGCATTTGGTGGATGTTTAATGTCAAGGAGAAAAATATTTTTTTGACCTAACAAGGTTTTCAACATATTGAGTGCATACTGTAATACACAATTCTCATTGCATCCTGATATATTTAAGTAAAAGCTTAAGCCTTAATTAGAAAATATTCTTTGATTGTTGAATAATTTTCCTTCTATTCATTTTTTAAGAGATATGTCTTAACAAAACAAAAGTAAATTATATAAAAGTTGACTTTTTTTCATAAGAATTTGCAAAATCAACAATCCTGCTCATCAGTCAAACATTTTAAAAAGGTAGACATTTCTTTATATTGCGGACAATTTTAGTTGCAATAACCAGATATTATAATAATAATTTTTATTTTTATCCAACTTTTATCTGATGTAGAAAATTCTTCATTGATGATACCACTACAATTCATTTATCAGTAAAAAGAATTGTGACAATTTATTTCAAGTTTCCAGCCAACGTTAGTTTCTATAAGTACGTCTTAGTATAAAACAGGACCTAGAATAACAACAATAAAACAACATGTTAATGTATACATAATCACATATATTTGATAAACAGATTAAAACTACATCTACTAATCAATAATTGTTCGATTTTAAATATCAATGAAATTTTCTTTCAAAGAACTAAGCTTGATAAAGAAAAAAACTTGTTAAAATAATGAGAAAATAAATATATAGTTTTTTTTTTATAATTAGGAGCAGAAAATTGTTTTAATCATTTATGTACTTCAATATCAAATCTATTTTCGAAGGGATAGCATAGAACAATTTTAAACTATAGCTATATCAGATAATGGACATAAGGAACCTATAGCAATTATTTTATACCAATTAGTGCAAAGCAACTCGTTAAACCTATATGAAAAATCTAATGAAAAAAATATACATGCTTCAAATTGTCTGATCCAACTTTATAAATTTTTTTGGTCTTATTTTATACTTTTTACATATGCTGTACTCTTACAAAAAATAAATAGAAAGGTAAAAATCAAAATTATAAAAATTATCAAAAATTATCACTTTATATACAAGCTTACTACTATTTCACTGTTGTCATTAAATAACAGATATTTTTTAGGTAGTATTTTGTTTGCAGAAAAAAAAAAGAAGTTGCAAATTTTTCACATTTGATGTGTTCGACNGGGGAAAAAAAGATTGTGCTGGTAAGGGTGGAACCAATTCATTGTTAACAAGATTTCATGTAACTAACAAAAATTAAATTTTAGATTAGCGGATCTCTGAAAAAATTTTGTTGTGATATAAATTATTGATTCTCAGAAGTCTGCAAGTCAATAATTTATATTACAGTCTTAAAATTCCACGAATTTCTATTAATTAGCACAGGAATCACATGTAGGATATAACCAATATTCGGCAATATTGAAGATTTATTTTTTCTCCTTTAAGGTTAACATTGTTCTTATATCAGAAAGTTAAGTTAGTTGCTTTTGTTAATTTTTTAAAAAGTATTCTTTAGCCATCAGTCTGTAACCATGTCTGTTCTAAAAGACCAGATTAAGAAAGAATTAAGTTTGCAAGTTGTGAGGTATAAGAGCAGTCTAAAGGAAATATGGGGCTTCTTGTTTAATGTTTGATTCTATTTAAATTTTACTTGATGATCTTGTAAACTCTCTTTAGCATAATTCATNATTTATCATATTTTTAGATAAACTTCAGTTACAGAGTTTGGACATAGTTATCCAGTTGCACATTTTATTACTAGCAGTTTAGATGCAGAAACCATTAAGTATTTCTTTCTCTTAAATCTAAAATTCCAAACTTAAATTGTAATTGTATAATGACTAATAATAAAGTTACCGTTAATCCATTCAATACGATTTTTGAAAAGATTTCACATTTGCTATGTAAATGGCACATTCACAGGACCTGGCAAAGACAATTATCAGCTAAGGTTTAAGATGTATATTTACAAAATGAACTATACACAAGTTTATTATCTCTTACAAAAGCGAAATCTTTGATCATTTTTAAATAAACTTTAGTTGTTTATACAAAAGCACAAAATTTTTGCTCTGCTGCTTATCTCTTATTTTGTACAAAATTATTGCTCACCTCAGTTCTACAACTAGTTTCTACGGTAGGCAGTGCTCCCGCCAATCAAGCAGTTGACTGTGAGCTCATTTATGTCATATGTTAAGAAAATAAATGTTAAAAAATCTGTGATGCGACTAACTATTAAATGTTGTGATGTAATATCCTGTGATTGTCTTGTTCTTTAAATGCTGTTATTTATGTCTAAACTCTGATGGATTCTGCAATAGAAATATTAAATAAGATTAATGAGACACTACCCCTCTCTTTCAGACGTAATTATTCTATTGCTAATTCTTAAATATATTTTGATTTCAGCTGTTGTTGATTTCTTTTAAACTGTAATGTCATATTCTCCAAGACATGACTGCAAATCGAGATCCTGGAAGAAAATGATACAGAATTGACCTGGAAGAAAATAAGTTTAATTGGAAGGTGTATTATCCCATTTTTGGTTCGACTATGGTCAAAGAAAATATGAAAATGCTAAAGAAAAACTCCCATGTTTTGCTACTGCAAGGTGGGAGGTTGCTGTGACCTTTCATTTAGTTTCACTCTTGGCCATTCGTCATATTTATGGAAAATTTATTTTCTCATGTTTTATTTAAACGTGTCTTTGTTTAAATTTTTAATTTTTTTGTAGAAATTAAATTGTGAAACTCTAAGGATTGGTGAGCAATGAATAGAAGGGGCATAGCCTTTAATGTAGTTAAAATAAACTAAGAAATATATATATATATAGGCATAAAAATTGGAGTATTAAATAAAACTTAGAGAAAAGAGTGAGAAGATCGCTGGAAAAGAACTGCTTTAGAATTTTCAAGGACTAGCGAGCTAGAGTAGAACCCTCTTCTGATTTTAAAAGAAAACATTAAGAACTTATCAGTGATAGAAATTACTCGTCCATTAAATTTGTGGGAGACTCTTACAAAATTCCTTCGCTGCCATGAGGAAAAAAGGTGACTAATTTAAGCTGTGAGTTATCATTAATTTTAAACTAGTCATTTTTCTACATCTGTTTATATGTTGGTTTTATTTTATTTATTGACTTGGAAATTTCTGTTAAATTGATTTTAAATAAATCTTTGTTCTGGAACTAGGTTATTATTATTTTGCAGATTAAACTTATTTTTCTTCAATAATGTATTTTTTCATGGCATGCATATAAGTAACTAAAGTATACCATTTACTAAATAAGCAAGAAAGATTTAAGCAATTAAAGTATATCTTGTCCTACGTTTAGGGCTCTTGATTTTAATTTTTTAAAGAAAAATTTTCTCCCCAGAGAATATTGTTTTTATTTATTTATATTTTAAAAAAGCATATTTTTTTTTATGGGAGATGCTTGAATTCTTTTTTTCTTAAAAGTTTTTTTGTAAAATATTCTATAGTGAGAGAATTTGTTATCATGAGTGATATTGAGAAATTTTAAAAAGTTAGCTTTTTATTTATTTATTTGAGACATTTTTAATAATTTTTCGTGTGGCTTAGTTGTTTTAAGAAGATTTTATTAGTAAACTTTAATTCTTTAAGTAAACAAGCTCTCAAATATTTTAATATTTGTTTGATTTTATGCCTTCTTTTGATGGTGTGAAAGGTTTTCATTCTAAATTTTTCTTTAAATTGAGTGGTTTCATTCCTTTTTTTAAGAGAGTATGTTTTTTATAACAAAACTTCATTTATTTTTAGCAAAAATTATATGGAACACAGTGAAAGAGCGTCCGGCAACCTAATTCCATACATTTCCCCATAGAAAGGCACTGCCACGCGTGTTTCGGAAACAAGGATTGGGACCCTTGACTAATCTTTCGCAATCAAGTTTATTCTAGTTTGATTTTCCGTAAAAAAAATTTATTCAATTTTAGGTCAGAGAATGTGAATTATTTATTTTTTGTAAATATTACTTTTCTTTTACAAACCTACCTAGCTAGCAGTAAAATATTTATTTTCAAAGATCATATTTTAAGTTTCATGTATTTTAAATTTGTTTTATTTGTAACCTATTTATAATTCCTGACTCCTCTTTTTTTATTTTAGCATTTCTTACCTTCAGTCACCATACTTTTACATAAATGAAATTAATTAATAAGGAATTTTGCATACTTCGCTCTATTTTATTTGAGTGATTCTATATATTCTTAAACCCTTTTACTGCTGTTGCCATCAGACTCTATAATGTTTTCGTATTTTTGCACTTTTTGTATTTTATATACTTTTCTGTTTTTCTTGATTTTAATAAACATTTAGCCGTATGCCCTAAATTGGGGCAGGTCGGGGTAAATATTTCATATTCTTAAATCCTGTATTATATGTTTATTGACGAATGTAAGTTACTCAAAATTTTCACAAGAACCAACTTTCAAAATGTGTAATTCTGAAGTATCATGCCATGGCATGACATATCATTAAATTTCCACCGTTATTCAACTGTATCACAACTTATGTTGGGATTGGCTTTTCACCAGAAAATTAATTCTTGAAAGCATTGATAGCTCAATTAAAGATATAAAAACTAATTCACTTTCATTTTATGATTTTAAATTTATTGTGAATATATAATGTTAAAAATCATGTTAAAATGAGAAAAACTGAAACAAAACTGGACATGTAATAAATTTTTTGCACGATAAGAAATATTCTAGGACAATGATTGACAAAACACGAGAGTATTGACCTGTAGTTGAGATGACCTCTAATTGAGAGTATTGACCTGTAGTGCACATATGAAAGAAGTATTTAAATAATTTCTGGAATTAAGGTGTACTCCATGCTACACAATTTATTTTCTCATTTTAAAATGAGTTGAAAATTTGTGATTCGTTTATTTTGTTCAGCTTACTTAGTATGTTACCTAATGTATCTCTTATCTTTCATGAAATAAATACTTATAAATCGCAAAACACTATTTGGGCTTTATTTTTTTTACAAACTTCTCCAAAATATGCACATAATCGAAAAAAGAATCTATAAAGTTTTTTTTTTGTGTCAATAAATACCTCTGTAATGCTTCCCAATTGACCAAGACCTGTGATGCTTTAGGTACAGACGCGTTTTCTTCTGAACATTCTTCATCATCACTGCTATCAAGAAGCAATTTTTCTTTGTTTTCTTGAATGATAAGAACAATATCATGTTCTGTCAATATGCATGTCACATGTTCTAACATCATCGTCTGCAGCAACATGAATGGGTTGGATGTAGTCTTTCCGAGTGATTCGTCTTTTTTGACCTGTCCCTTAAATATCTGAAACTTTTTATTTTGAAGGTGCAAACATATTTTAAATCTGAGATTATTGTTTAAAGTATGGAAAAGTGTCTTGATCATGCGATAAAATGAGACTTGTTGCTTATTTTCACCTTCGTTAAATCGGATTACCCATTTTGTAAAATCGGTATTTTTAATCCATTGTTTCTATGGAGATTCGGAAAATATTTTTTTACATAAAAATTTTTGCTAAAACAGGATTTAAATATACAGACATTGCCCCCAACCCAATTAACGCCAGAACACATTTTCAACTTTCAAGCCATTCTGGCTGCACTTTTTGAACTCTGCGCACCCTCAAAGGACATCTCATACGGTCTCCGGAACTCGCAAAGTTTATTTTTGAAACTTATGGAAATATTTACCACTGCCATACACAAGGCAGCAATAAAATTGAGCAAAAATTTTTTTGATACATAAAATTATTGAATGATAAGAACGGCAATGAAAAATAATTATTTTAATGCTGTTTCTCTTCATTTATCTCAGAGAAAAGAACTACTTTACATTTGTAATGACAAAACTGTAATACTTTTCCCGTATATACCTGATATATTATAAGGCCATTATATATAAAATCATAATATTTTCATATATTCCATTGGTAATTACTGCAGAGTTGATAACTTTTGTTTTTGTCACAGGTTTGCTATAGAGTGTTGATGCTGTTATGTGTATAGTCAGCCAACCTTGGCTGTGAAAATTTTATTTGAAATGAACCATTATGGTGTACAGCCCAATGCAATAACTTATGGTTTTTATAACAAAGTATGGTTTAAATTTTTGTTAAAATGCTGCCTGCTATTTTTGCTATTAATGCTATTTTTGTCTTTGACATTTAGTCTACTGATAAAATAAGTTTGCCTTATTAAATTCAAAATTAGTTTGTAGTTTAGAGTTGCGCAGATACCCTGAACAGAGGTACACAACCTACAACTGCTTGTTTTTCAGCCAAAAAATGGAAAAAAATATACGCTCAGCAAATGAAATATAATTTCAGTAAAGCCTGGAAAAAAATAAAAATTATTCTAAACTCCCATACGTGCTAACTCAAAGCGTCAAAAGGTATAAATCTTTCAACATTTTAAATCTNCTCTGAAACTCGCAAAGTTCATTCTTGAAACTTTTGGAAATATTTAGCACTGCCATACACAAGACAACAATAAAATTGAGCAAAATTTTTTTTGATACATAAAATTATTGAATGATAAGAACAGCAATGAAAAATAATTCTTTTAATGCTGTTTCTCTTCATTTATCTCAGAGAAAAGAACTACTTCTTTAAATTTGTAATGACAAAACTGTAATACTTTTCCCGTATATACCTGACATATTATAAGGCCATTATGTATAAAATCATAATATTTTCATATATTCCATTGGTAATTACTGCAGAGTTGATAACTTTTCTTTTTGTGACAGGTTTGCTATAGAGTGTTGATGCTGTTATGTGGATAGTCAGCCAACCTTGGCTGTGAAAATTTTATTTGAAATGAAACATTATGGTGTACAGCCCAATGCAATAACTTATGGTTTTTATAACAAAGTATGATTTAAATTTTTGTTAAAATGCTGCCTGTTTTTTGTTAAATGCCTATTTTCGTCTTTGACATTTAGTCTACTGATAAAATAAGTTTGCCTTGCTAAATTCGAAATTAGTTTGTAGTTCACAGGTGCGCAGATACCCTTTTAGCATCACTATAGTTGATAGGAACAATNTTATAACAAAGTATGATTTAAATTTTTGTTAAAATGCTGCCTGTTTTTTGTTAAATGCCTATTTTCGTCTTTGACGTTTAGTCTACTGATAAAATAAGTTTGCCTTGTTAAATTCAAAATTAGTTTGTAGTTTACAGTTGCGCAGATACCCTGAACAGAGGTACACAACCTACAACTGCTTGTTTTTCAGCCAAAAAATGGAAAAAAATATGCACTCAGCAAATGAAATATAATTTCAGTAAAGCCTGGAAAAAAATAGAAATTATTTTAAACTCCATTATGTGCTAACTCAAAGCATCAAAAGATATAATTCTTTCAACATTTTAAATCTTTTAATAGGAAATTTTGTTTTGAAAATATTTTCGATACAGAAAATTTGGTGCCTGCAGGATTATAGGGCACATGAAGCCAACACGTAGAAACAATGCACAAACAACCAATTAAACACATAGGTATGTGAAATATGAGACTTTCATAATCATTATTAATAACTAATATTATCAAATCTGATAATATCATGATCATCATTAATAATGTAACCATAAAAATATATTAACAAATCTTATACATAACAGACAATAAATAATGAATATGATTTTAATGCAAGAGTTGAGAAATTTTATTGGAGTGGTGAAGATACAAATCAAAGTAAAAGTAATACAAATTAATAAAATAAAGACGATGAATTCCTTGAAAAATATTGTTGTATGCTCCTAACTATCAGTACTTTTGAAAATACATTGTAATACTGAAATTTGGTACTTATCGGCTATAGGAATGAATATTCTCGTACGCAACAATCCAAGTATTCGCCAATGTAAACTGACAAATACTGATAATTTTCTTAGTTAAAACGAATGAAATTCATTGAAGAATAAAGATTAAATTATTTATACATTTGAAAAAATTATAAAGCAACAGATAATTTTATTGAAGAAGATAAAAATGTTAATACTTTATTTGAAAATATTCCAACATAATATTTCACAAAAGACTTAAATCAGTTAAAGAACAAATTTATATTTTTTTAATGACACTAAGCTTCATTAATTAAAAATTGATGTAAAATAAAAGAATTTTATTATTTTTTTGTTGCTGCTACTGGGAAGTTAATTTTTTGACCAGCAGTCTTCATTCGATAAAAAATGTTTTATGCTGTATTCCTTACAAAATAAAACAGAACAACAAACCAAAATTTTCTTCGTTCCAAAAGAAAAATCTCTCTGCAAGAACTCTGTAAAGTTCTGTGGCAATGTCGCTGTGATTCTGCCACAGGGAATGCATGTGAATGAAAACTTAGGGAAAAAAAAGATTGTGCTGGTAAGGGTGGAACCAATACATTGTTAACAAGATTTCATGTAACTAACAAAAATTAAATTTTAGATTAGCGGATCTCTGAGAAAATTTTGTCGTAATATAAATTATTGATTCGCAGAAGTCTGCAAATCAATAATTTATATTACAGTCTTAAAATTCACGAATTTCTATTAATTAGCACAGGAATCACATGTAGGATATAACCAATATTCGGCGTTTTTACTGCATATTCTGAAAATTATTTTTCGACAAAATGTTTCTGGGGCATAAATTTGAATAGATTTAATGAAAAATAATTTAGAATGTTTTTTTTTTACTATGTATTAAAAGAAATAGTTTTAACACATATTTAAGTTCTAAATCTTGTAGTTTATAGTCTGAAATACAAATGGAAAAGCAAAATTTGAAAAATTACCAGATATTCGGCCAAATCACGACTCATTACATCCCTAATTCTGCAAATAAACATCCTTCTTTGCTTTTTTTCTATCAGCAAAATAGTTTTACAGAATTTGAAATGACTTAAAGTAGGTTTTACCTTTCTAACAATGACTTTGAGTTTATGCAAAAAAAGAAATAAGGAAATTCTTTTGGGCCTTTTTTTGTAGTACAGCAAAACAGAATATAATTTGAATAACGGTTAAATTACTTTAAATTTTGCGTTTTTATTTGCTTCAGCATTTTTTTCAACACACTAGTTTTATTAAAAAATGAAATAACTTAAGAACCAGTCCCACAACATGTGATTCAAGCAGATTCTCTAACATTTAGTTTTAAAACATTTACTCATGTGTTACGTGTATGGAAACTAAATGCAACAAAAGAGACCACTTGAAGGTACTTATATTTCTGAACAATAAATTTTAATTTGGGCAGAAAAGAATAGGATGATTTCTGCATCAGTATCTACGCTACAAATCATCAAGTTTTGGTGACTTACAAGCAGTAGCCAATGAGGAATTTTAAAAAAAGACCACCCCAGAAGGTGACCAACTCAACTCGAAAGATATACCTCTTAGCCACAACTGGGCATGCCTCAACATATATATATTTTATTTTGTGCAACTTTAAATTTTTTTTGGCACTTGGGTGATTGTAATTAACATAATTAGAAAATATCTCACTTTCTCCCAAAATGAATCAGACTGAAAAGTGGAATTAGCAAAATTTGAATAATAGTTAAATCACTAAAATCTTGCCTTTTTTTTGTACTTTCTATCAGTAAGCTACTTTTACAAGAGTATAAATGACTTATGTAAAGTAGCGTATTCACCTTCTGAACAATGACTTTGAGTTTATGCAATCACTTTATAGCCTTTTTTTTGTGCATATTTCACATCCTTTTCCCTCACGATAACGAAGCTTTCCTTATCGTAATATAGTTTTTTTCTGTACTGATGTGCTCGACTTGAAATTCTAAAATGTTTGTTTAGAATAAAATTTGTGCAACTCGACCAAGTGAGCTTAACAGTGTTCGAATGAACGTTATTTTCCTTCCCCAGAATAAGATCAACTTGTTTATGTGCAAGTTGATTCAACACTCTTTCGGCTGAGATTCTACATTCCGATTTGAATTTCTCGCTAATCGACTGATAACAC